CTTGCGGGCGACCTGGTGCCCGCGGGCACCGTGTTGGTGACCCCTGCTCTATTGTATGATCCTTGAAGTCTCCAGGGCACAGTAATGAAGCTAAAAAAGTGAGCTGATAACACTGTAATAAACGTAATATTTTACATATACAACTTGCAAATAATTTTCCTGCAGTATATGATGTGTTACAGTGTGTCAAACTCTCCACCTAAAGATGTGTTTCTTATGCATATTCCTGCTTTATAAAATTAAATTAAATTAAATTGTAACATTAAAGATAAATACCCCGGAGTACCTGAAAATCAGCCCCATCAGACATTATTGAAAGTGGCCAATGACCACAGGGGTATGTGAAAATGGGAAAACCTCAGTCCATCCATGCACCCATCCTTTTATATAACTACTTATTCAGCAGTTGTGTGTGGCTGTAGTCTGTGCCAGCAGGGCAAAAAGCATGGTACACCCTGGACAGGTCAGGCTGTCAGCAAAAAATCCTGTGTGGCCAGTGAATTTCTTAATCTGGTTTTTGCTCCTATAGCCATAGACTGTATAAAAGAAGGGTGTAGTCACCATTTGATTTGGTCATTTGGTCAGTAGGATCCCAATTTGAAGCTTTAAACTGAGTGTGTTCAATATCACCATCTTGGTGTTTTGATATCAGATGTGAACAGAGAGAATCCTCTTTCCTGACACTTAGAATCTCGATAATTTATAAATGTACAAAAATGACTTTATTCTTTATTCAGTATGACCTGTGGCCAGCAGCTGACACCATAAAATTATCTGAAAAGTGTTTACTGAGGTCAAAGAGTAAAGGGGGCCACGAGAAAGAACAGCTCCATGTTCTTTCCCGTGACTCAAGAGTTGGGAGTTTGCCTTGTAATCGGAAAGTTGCCGGTTTGAGCCCCGGCTTGGACAGTCTCGGTCGTTGTGTCCTTGGGCAAGACACTTCACCTACCGCCTACTGGTGTTGGCCAGAAGGGCCGATGGCGCGATATGGCAGCCTCACCTCTGTCAGTCTGCCCCAGGGCAGCTGGGGCTACAACTGTAGCTGCCTCCACCAGTGTGTGAATGGGTGGGTGTGTAAGGCGATTTGGGGTCCCTAGGCGGGACTAGTAAAAGCCTTTGCTATACAAATACAGGCCATTTACCATTTATAACAGTGGAAGCAGCAGTACTCTGTCACTTTTTCATGTCTTAAAGCCAAAGATGTGAGAATAACACACTGTTACTTCAGTTTATTTTTGTTAGCTAACCTTAGGGTTTCCTGCTCTTTTTGCTTAAATCACATGTACTTATTCCTCACAATCATCGTGTGTAACATGCCTGAGCTTAATATAACTTGACACCAGTGATGGGCAGCAACGCATAATTAGATTACTTTTTTCAAGTAACGAGTAAAGTAAGGGATTACTATTGCAAAAAAGGTAACTGGATTACTGTTACTGTCCCGTAAACACGCTGCTCTACTGTGTTACTAAACCGTGAGTTTGTTTGCAAGAGTGTCTCATGACAGTGACATAAGTGCATGCGATGTTTGTGGTAACAAACGTGTGCAGATCAACAATGGATCATTTATCGAGTGACAGCGTGCAGCGTTTAAAGGCGTTTATGTGAAAACAATAGACAATTACTGTCACTGTCATTTTTTATTTCTCAAACAAAAAGGCACAAATTGGAAGCATTACATTTCTTGTCTTGGAGAGCCCCCCCCCGAATAACTTTAAATGATTTATTTTCAGGAATCATTTTTGTCTCATTCATCTTACTGACGTTTTGTTACCTTGAGATTAGCAACCACACAACACTTTATCACAACTAGATCATAAAAAAGTATCTTAATGTTGGACCACAAAAGATCCAGTAGTCGTATGAACCTGTGATTCATATACACTCATGTGTGATCATGGCTCAAGAGTTGGGAGTTCGCCTTGTAATCGGAAGGTTGCCGGTTCGAGCCCCGGCTTGGACAGTCTC